ATAGGCACTTTAATAACAAGCGCAAAACAGTTTAATGTAGAGCTGCATAGAAGGAGCTACTGCAAACAATTTAACGTATTGCTTACTACTTTTTTCATGTCGGCAGGGAAATTTACTTCCATAAATCAAATAAATTGGTCGGTACCTTTATATTCTCTTATTGGTGGCAGTATATTGCCCTATTTCACTGTTGCGACTGTTGTCATGATCAGCGCGTAGCAGTGAAAAGAGTGGTAAAGTTAGATGCTTCTTTGTAATTCAATTTGCAAACTTCATCTGAAAAAGCCAAGTCTTAAACACAGCGAAAATGAAATCATTAAAGTAAAAAAAATCTGTTGAGTAATTTCGTAAGTTTAGTTATTGGAACACATTTTCAAATTCATAATAGCACACCATAAAGTGCACACAAAAGAAAAAATGCATGAAAAAGTAACTAAGTAATATATTAGACTTTTTTATGAGTTAGTGTTTATGCTATAACATGGGTAGTGGCCCTGTGGGGTTGGGTATGAAGAGATCTGTAAAGATTCCTTCGTGTACCCTTCCCTATTGCCCCAGTCAAACCCCATCCCCTTTGGGCCACTATGCATGCTAAATAATAAACGTTGGAAGGTAACTATGGTGTTTAACTACAGAATACATTTAAGGAAACCCATTACAGTAAATTTGAAAATACAAAAGTAGCTGAAAAGATAAACCAACACAGTTTTAAATGTTTTCAAGATGTAGGAGGGTCAATCCCCTGCGGCAGCGGACAAAAGCAAATTCAGATTTTCTTGAAAGGAGTTATAGGTTACAGGTGGACTATATAAATTATTAAAGGGGGAATATCCAAATTCTAATTCAGATGAAACTGGTTAAAGCTTTTTTCCTGATATTTGGATGGGAAGTATTATATTTTTGTGAATTTTTATAGGAGTCTGTGACGTCAAAGGCTAAGAAAAATTTCAAATAATATGCTATTCATCCCACTATTACTAAAAGACAGCACATGTCAAGCAGGTTTAATATTACATTACTGAATATTACTTACTGGCTGAAGAAATCCAGTTAACACTACAACCTAGAATAACCTTTAGTCAGTAAATTTTATATCATGTTCTTCAGCATTTGAAACCATTGCCCAAGATCAACAGTGATCCTTAGGGCCTTAAACAGCCAGTAGTTGAGCATCTATATTACTCATAAAGATTACTTCCAGAATAAATAGCTGCTCAAAATTACTTATGATTATAACGATCGATGTTACCAGGTAGAGAAGATCGTTGATCATCCATTCTGTTCGACTGAAGTCTCAGTATAAGACCAAAGAAATCCTCATCTGGAACTGTAGGGGCTTGTCTGTGAAGAGGTGGTTCGCTACGTTGGTCTTCTATGCGATGTGCCTGGAAACAATAAAGATCATTAAATCAGTTAGCAAAACCAAACTACTGTATTACGAAGTTTAAAAAGCTGGCATRACTGCTGAAAATACTTTTCCCCAAACATTCAATGCATTGTGCATAATAATAGGGCATAGCGCCATTTTTCTTTACTTACGACGCTTAAAAAAACAGAACCTGATATTTTAGGGTATGGTAGTCTTTCCGTAGAACAATTTTTCATTGGAAACGATGTTCTGTATTCTTTTTTTCGCAAGAACGGCTTTTTATATGTAGATGATGCCAAATTGCTAGGTCTAACTATAAGTAACAACCTTAGTTGGAATTCTCACGTCAATGAAGTTGTAAAAAAAGCATCCAAAAAGCTCTACTTTCTAGTCCAATTTAAAATGGCAAAGGCGACAACAACTGACTCATTATTGTTTTACGAAACTTGTATTAGATCTGCTATTGATTATGCTGTTCCAGTTTCTTCATTGCTCCTTACCTAAATATCTAGTCAATGAACTTGAAAGAATACAGAAAAGGGCAATGTCAATTATCCATCCACATTTAAACTGTAAATCAGCCCTTAGCAGCTCCAATCTATGTACTCTTGAACAACATCACAAGGATCTTTTCATAAAATTATTTAATGACATAAAGGGTGATACTAATCATCTGTGAGTGTATTTTTTAATCACTAAGCCAATGTGTACACACACATATATAATAGATATAATTTTCATAAAGATTTTATAGTATTAATTTATTAGTAATATATAAGAATACATATATAATTTTTATAGTACACACCTCCTTTATTCAATTATTTATTAACTAATTTTAGTATTTGTAATTTACGTAATTCATTGTAAACTACTATGTAAATATTTTAATGAATTTCTATTCTATTCTATTTTCATCATAAAACAGTTTTTACGGGCGATGCGGCTCGTTTAGCCAGAACCAAAGTACAAATGCAGTAGCTGTCTCTTTTGCTGCACTTTTTCTGGCAAGAGTTATAATTAAATTTCCTTGTATTTTGTTTGAGGGGATATGTTTGATGTACCTGACTTCGTAGTACGATTTCATACAAATCATCTGAGATGGCTCCTGACGCATCCTTTTTCAATTTAATTACCGGTTTACCTAAGGATCGATATATACATATAAGTAAGAACTAATCATTTCAACAAAGCAGTTGTACAAAATAATGATAATGATAATAACGATAATTATTATATGACCGTGAATCTTAGAGCCTGGACACTAGCAAATCGAGCAATCTGATTGGATAGATCACATCGCGGACCAGTCTAGATTCTCCGGTATTAACCGGTCCGATCGCATATTAATCTTACGGCGAAAACATTTTGTCCTTTTCAATGAAAAKTGGTCATATAATAAAACTCTTATCAACCGAGCTTGGTCGATCTGTACGGGATAATCTTGACCTCGGTCGGGTACAGACCTCGGTCAAGATTATCCCGTACAGACCTCCCGCTCGGTTAATAAGATCTAATTATTAGCATTAGTATTAGTATTAGTATAGGGGATCGCACGATTTCGAGTATAATTTGGAAATTAATAGACTTGAGTAATGTTTTGAAAGTTCTTGTAATTGAACGAGCCTTTAGGCGAATGCAATTAAAGAACTCTCAAAACATTACTCACGTCTATTAATTTCCAAATTGTACCCGAAATCGTGCGATTTCCTATACTTATGTACAGGAAATCATACGATCTTCTCGTACAAATTCGCAAATTATAGGTACGAGTCCATAAAACTTTCGAAATACTAAATAGCACAATTTCATGCAAATTCCATTGTTTTCTATTGTTTAACTAGCACTATTTTGAACTATTTTGTAATTAGTGTTTCACGGATTTACTGTGGTCACTCTACTTCAAACTGATTTTATTGTACTCCTCTTATCCAATCAGAATAGAGTAATTTTGTTGAGCATAAAATAAATAAATAATAAATTAATTATATATAAATACAGTATATATATTAAGCAATTATTCGCCGAAGGCGAAGTGAATATCGGGAAATATTTATCAGGAAATATTCTCCATATTCACTGAGCCTGAGGCGATAATTGTTTTAGCATATACCAACATGTGTACAGAGTAACTTATCTTGATATACAATAATTCAATAAAAACAAGCAAACAGAAATTGCAGTTTGGTGACAAATTCACGCAAACCTTGTAGCAAAACTTTTAGCAAACTCTTAGTACATACTTCGTTGTCTTTTTAGTATTGATAGGAATAGCATTTACTTTCAATTTTTCAATTTCCTCATCGGAAATTGTAGCAAGACGATTGCCGGCAGATGCCTTTTTGTTGCCGGCTCAATATTCCGAGATTCAGAGGTGAATATCGTACATATTCACCTCCAATTAACCAATGAGCGCGCCCGTTCTTAGGAAGTACACAAGTTGGTATATGCTAAATATATATAAATAGATTAATTAAAGTCAAGAACATTCCATAGACGCACATTATCATATGACCGCACTGCTTGCGCGCTATAATAAAATCTTTGGATAAAGTTACGTGATGGGGGAGGGACGGGTTGACAGGCCGGAAAAGCCCGTACTGCTCTCGGCTCGCTCCGTTCGGTCCGTACGGCATGACCTCGAGCCAAATAGTTTCCCGCCCTCCGACTCAGTCAATAAGTACATAGTATGATCCAAGAAATTGTCATCATAATCCGAAGAAAAAGGAGTCTGGTATAAAGAGAAAATTACTTCTTACTTTTAATTCCGTAGTCAATATTTTAGTGCCATCTCACTTACTCTGAGAAGCTGTATCCAAAATATCTTCTGGGTCTCTAAGCTCAAATCTTTGTTCATCCATACGATCTCCTTGTATTCTTGCAACCAATTCTAACAAGTCATCTGCACTTTTACTCTTTGTTTCTATCTCACTAGGAGCATCACATCTTTGCTCATTCATTCGCTGCCCTTGATATCGACTGAGCATGTCAAAGAAATTGTCATCAAGAGAATCACCAATCAGCCCTCTTGCCTAATCCATGAAAAGAATGTTCTATTAGAAACAGCGTAGCAGATACAGACCATAATACGTACTATGATAAAGTCATGGGTCAAAAAACGCCCGTAATAGGCCTATCCCGAATTCGCTTGACTTTTCACGAAACAATGGTTTCAAGTCGAGGTTGAACCAGTTCGTGGTCAGTCGAGCGAATTCGGGATAGGTCTATTGAATAATATAACTCTGATACATATGACATGGATAGATAAGACCAATTAGAGTTTTGACGGGCATGCTAAATTACCAATCAGAACGCTCGTAATATCGTGGCTATGTTATAAATGATGTTAGAAAACTCATTAATAATTCATGAAGAAAACACAATAGAAATCATGACCATGAAGGAGGTTTTATATCTGATATAGATTCGTCTTCATTTGCATAAACTTTAACTTGGATTTTCTCTATCAAACTTGGTTCATTTCGTAAAGAATTCGGTACAGTATGAGAACATACATCTGGAGTTTTTTAAGCCGTTTAATAAACTCGCAGATCGTGTTTTATCGGGTCTAAAACCACTCGGCTRCGCCTCGTGTTTTATACCCGATAAAACACTCCTGCTCGTTTATTAAACATTACATAATGATGATAATGATCAAAATCAAAACGTTTTTTTCTACGTGTATTTGATATTTTAAACACGCAAGTTTTCGAGCTCCTTGTTCAATCATCAGCGAGTAAATGAAATTACAAATCTCAAGTCAGTCATGGCAGAAGAAAACGAAACGTGGCAATATACGCTATAGCGTACGCTCGATGCCAACCACTATGCGTGTGCACATAAAATATGATTTGAGTGATGCATCTTGAAGATATCAAGGTTTATAGACTACTTTCAATATGCTAATGAGCGTGTAAACTGAAAAACTTGTAAATTGAAACAATAATTTACAATAACCTTTGGAGTATGAACCTTTATCAAGACAATGTTATACAGGATATGCTTACTCCCTCATAAACGTTTTGGCTATCTTTAAATATAATCAAAGCTAAATTAATCAATTAATTAATTAATCAATCAATCAACCAATCAATCTGGCCATCATGGGAGGGCCTTATGTTTAGAAGTAAAAGAGTTATATCCACCAACAGAAATGTGATCATTTCGAATTTATGTATGCATACCTGATTCGACGAGACTCTAACTTGAACTTGAGCAGCATCAACTGGCCGTGAACTTCCAGCTACRGGACTAGATAGCTTACGACTTCGTTCTTTTCCCTGCACGAAKTTCAGGAAATACAAATGTCATTTTATCTGTCTATCCAAGAGTGTGTTTAATGACCGAAAAATAAAATAAAGCGGATAAAAAAGTGAACATACCTGCCCGTCTTTACGCTTTTCTGAAAATAAAAGTAGCATGCTAGTTAGGGACCTGCCATTATTTATTATTATTATTATTATTATTATTATTATTATTACTACTATTATTAACAACAACAATGGGGTTCATATATAGCGCATTTCACATTGTCTCGATGCGCTTTACATTTATGAGCAGTGGAGGACTTTACGGGCTGCATATTATTGTGCTAGTAGCAGCCGTGCAGTTACAATCATGAGTGATTCGTTAGTACATTAGTGTTATGCCTCCAGACAGGGATAGGCTGTTGAACCGGGAGACAATCCCCTACTCTTACACAAATAATTCAACAGGTTCTTTAATGTTCCTCATTTATCGTAGGTTAGGAAGGGTTGGGAGACAAGGCCTACGGTTTTAAGTCCTTGTCCGAGAGGACTTGAAGGTCTAACCATTTGCAGATGTAATTACAAATGCAGCAGCTTCTCCTTAGTTATTTTAAGACCCTGAGTGTTGGTCCAGCCGAGGCTTGAACCACCACCTCCCACATAACAGACCGACGCACTTACCAACTGAGCTAACCGGGTATTACTAGGGGAAGGGGGCTCACACAAAAATAAGAAAGTAACAACCACTAAGTATTTGATTAGCAGTTAATAATAGTACTGCAGCGAATGATCCCCTAAAATCCACCCCGACCCCCAGGCGATAAGTAATGACCGGCCCTTAAAAGGTACTTAATATTTATAATTACCATTAAATATCTACTTGATAGCCGCACAATATAGACATACAGTAAGAACGTCATAATGATGAGGTAGTGATGTGTGCAAGTGATTTATACCTGAATCATTTTTGCTGTGTTTACGGAACAGTTGTTTAATAGATCCAGGACTCGCGTTTCGTTGATCTGGTTCAGCAACACTGACTTCACTTTAAAGCAAAAAAATATAGGAATATGAAAGAAATCCTTTACAGAGACCACTAGAAGCTCTATTAGTTCAGATGTCTCTTTACTTATTGTATTTTAATTAATAAGACTTTTGTTGTAAGAGGTCGACTGTAGGTGATGGTAGATAGATAGAATCTTTATTGCTCTTTACGTTCGTGATACATATTAAAAAAATTGAAGGTTACTTTATAAATAGAGAAAGGTTACTATGTAGACAATAAGCCTGAGAGCTAGATAAACCGTTAGGTATTCGAGAAAGCTCCCAGTATTTTCTTGTCATTTTGTAGGTTAAGAGTGTAATAAAGTATTTGACATGTATATTAAGAAAAAAAATACTAAAGAACTAATAATATATATAACAAATAAATATAAAAGTAACTACTATAAGGGAAATATTTTACAGTATGTATCAAGTGAAGTTAATAAAGAAAATAACAATGTTGTTTGAGTTATTTAGACCTTTGCTGGTTTAGTAGATAATTTTTAAGTTGCTTTTGAAACGAAATAGTATTCTTACATGTTTTGATATCAATGGGAATACTATTCCACATATCTATTGCCATAAAGGTGGTGGTGATGATAATAGTGGTGAGGATGATGGTGGTGAGATTATGGTGGCGAGATTATTTTGAGGATGATGGTGAGAATGATGATGGTGGGAGTGTTGATGATAATGGTGGTGAGGATAATGGTGAGGATGATGATGCTGGAAGTGGCAGTTATTATGGTGGCGAGGATGATGCTAAGGATGTTGATGGTGGAGGTGGTGGTGATAATGGTGGTGAGGATGATGGTGAGGATAATGATGTGGTGGGAGTGGTGATGAGGATGGTGATAGTGGGAGTGGTGAGGATAATGGTGAGGATGATGATGGTAGAAGAGGTGGTGAGATTATGGCAGTGAGGATGATGGTGAGGATGATGATGGTGGTGATGATGATGGTGTTGAGGATGATGATGGTGGTGGGGATGATGATGATGGTGGTGGTGAGGATAGTGGTGGTGATAATGATGGTGGAAATGGTGATGATGATGGTGGAAGCGGGGATGATAATGGTGGTGGTGATGATGGTGATAATAGTTGTGACGACAATAGTAATGACCCCTCCCCCCCTACCCAATTTAAGTCCACTTACCTTCTAACGAAAATTCCCTCCCGGATGCAACCCCCCTCAATCATAAGCCCCCTCCATTGACGGAGCACCGCCATGCAGCCCCAAAGCATATTGGAATCTACTCAAAGTGTAGTTTCTTTCTGAACACATTTGCGTTCCATAGCTTCTTTAGATATTATTGCGAACTATTAATCTTTTTTAATTGAACACATTTCTATGCTTTTTCCCCCTCCCTTTCGTAATTTCATAAGCCCCTCCCCCCATTAGTTTCTAGTATAAGTATTATACTAAACAAGAATAATTGGTACCTTTCAGCATTGACAGCTGTTTGTTTGTCTTGAATACCTAACAGTGCCTTTAGGTCAGAAATGTTCATCTGTGCTGTAATCTGACCTGTACGATCTCCAACCTGCATATATTAAACGTCACTTTCAGACAATTTAATTCCTTTCACCTCAAAATGACTTTGCCCTTTACCCTCTTTTGTACCCCAGTTACACTGTCCACAACTCAATCTACAGAAGCTTGTTTCTTAGCATGAAAATATTTCGCATACAATTAACCTCACCTCTTTAGAAATATCATAATGTTTTTGTGCATATTCCAAGGCCAACTCATGGTTACCCAAAGCTGTATGTGCGTTGCCTAGACTCCAGCATGCCCGTCCCTCACCAACCCTGTTGGTGTAATAACAAATGGCTTTGCTTGAGTCAACGATAAATGTATACATTCACAGTGATTTCACTTCTTAACAAATATGGAAAACCTCTTATAATTAATATATATTTCTATGGAATCATCAAAACCGCCACCCGGTTAGATCAGTTGGTAAGTGCGTCGGTCTGTTGCGGGAGGTCGTGGTTCAAGCCTCGGCTGGACCAACACTCAGGGTCTTAAAATAACTGAGGAGAAGCTGCTGCCTGTGTACTAATATCTGCAAATGGTTACTCTCGGATAAGGACTTAAAACCGTAGGCCTTGTCTCCCAACCCTTCCTAACCTGCAGTAAAGTGGGGGACATAAAAGAACTTGTTGAATTATTCGAGTAAGAGTAGGGGATTGTCTCCCGGTTCCACAGCCTATCCCTGTCTGGAGGCATAACACTAATGTACTAACAAATCACTCATGATCGTAAGCTGCACGGCTGCTACTAGCCTCCTTCGCAGCCGTTCTTAGGAAACGTTGCGTGACGACCCTAAGAACGGCTGCGAAGGAGGCTAGGCTGCTACTAGCTCGTAAAGTCCTCAGCTGGTCATTAACGTAGAGCGCATTGAGACGTGGTATAAATGTGCTATACAAGAAACTTCCATTATTATCAATATTATCGAAATACTCTTGCTAACAACACAAAACACTGAACAACAAAAATAACATACAATACGATACAATTATTAACCCAGAGAGTYATCTAACACGTGGCCCTCTCACTACTGAAACAATTCAAAAATATAAGAAATTATAAGTGCAAAAATTACATCATATTACTGAAAATTTAAATAAATTAACAATCGTAATCAAATGGAAAAGAAAAATTGACAAAATTYATAAAGTGCTGAAGGAACGAAGTTTTTTGCGACACTCTAAACAGAATAATTCTTCTAAGTACGAGACACTTGAAGATAACTTAAGAAATAAATGAAGGATTTTAGACTTGAAATTGGACAGATTAGATGAAAGAGAGTAAGAGGGATTAGGATGACAGAGTAGATGTTTCAAATCAGAATCAAGACCGTTGAATAGTAAAATTGAACTATAAGCAAATGTACGTTTTCCAGATTTGGTACGGAGGATGCAAAACATGAAGATTAGTCTTAGAAGCTCTATTAGTTACACCAGAGGAGCGAAGAGTAGCCAGAAAATTGAAGCTGCTATAAAGAGAAGTGGGTGAATTGGGGTTGTTCACGATATTAAATAGAACAACAAGCTTCCTAAGGTTAATAAGAAGTGAGAGGCTGTTGTAATAGGGTGTAGTAATAGTCAAAGCATGCATGTCCAATACACACGAAATGAGACGAATCGTCATTTCGTGAAAGAACACAGGAAGCCCATTTCAGTGATTCACAACTAGAGTTGGTCTAGCATTGGGCTTCTTGTGGTATCGACAACGCGTCTTACCGGAAGTCATTTCGTTAATATGCAAATCAACAGGAATGCAACTTAACGTTTACATTGGGTTTCCTTTAATCCAATCAGGACAATGATTTTATTTCCTGAGAAACCAATCAGTTGTACAAATCAAACACCAGTTAGGAGTTATGCATCTTATATATTTCAGGCGATACTAGCCGAGATACTATGAGGAAATACCGTATACTAACATCACCAATACTAATCGTTGTATTGAAAATCAATGAACATTTTGTAATTAAAGTTGTTAAAAGGTTTTATCAAATACACATCAAAACTTCCGTCCAAACTGCCAGTCATTCTCAGTCTGACAATTAGCTCAATCAGTATTTGGAAGTAAATAATATTAAAAATACATATGTAGATTTCAATCTGCCACAAATTATCTGTTATAATGATAGGCTTTATTTCCAGAGAGTAAACACATAACAGTAGTTAAGCTCTGTGGTCCTCAGCTACGCCTCGTGTTTTATACCCGATAAAACACTCCTGCTCGTTTATTAAACAGTACATATCTAACTAAATTTAAAATATCTGGAAAAAATTTTAAATACATAAATTATATATACACTACTATATTACTTATACGAATACATACTAACTAAACACTAATATCAATATCAATATAAATCTAGAATATCATATCAAATATTCAAATGTTCAAACTGATCAAATGTTGACTTTTTGTTGTTACTTTTTACTGACATGTAGTATGACCAAATAGTATCAATATTCTCCATTTCTGTTGAAGAAAGGTTTTTTCGCATAACACCTTGTTAAAAGAATGACAGCTAAATAACGGTGCAATTAGTAAATTTTGACGAAAATAATTGAAAGGATTACAATAATACTGCAAGGGAAAATCATTAAAAGCGATCCCTCTTCCTGCTTTCCAGAGATGGATCAAAATTTACAATATTTGATATTTTAGGATCGTGTCTTCATATAGACGGTAAACTGATCGATGAATCAGTGTCACCTTACCTTTAAGGGAAAATATCTTGACGAGAGATAACGTGTTTCGCAAAGACAACTTCTTGTCCGTGCGATTCAAAAATAACCGCATTGAACGATGCTGGAACCACGGTTTTGCCGCAAGGCTACATCTACAAAATGACTTCCAAACGTCGCGGAAGCAAAAGCACATTCGAAAGGGCTGTACAGGAAAACATCAATATAACTGGGTTTCAAATTTTTATGGGAACCAGGCTTTTTTAATAGTTAGAAAGAAAAAATTCTGAGACAAAGGCAAAGCTTAAAGTTTGTGGACAACGGACTTTGCTGCGAACCCTTCTAAAGCGACAGTCTACTAATTCGATTGATCATGCACGACACGATCTCAAGTCTAACTAATTCAGGTGAATAACTTGCTAATTAGTTGCCAGAATATCATTAGATCAATTAATATTTTTCTCTAAACACTGCGTAGTTCATTTATTTTGAACACAAACGATATTATTATGCTAAGTGAGAAAAGAGGCTTCAAGTAAAACACTAGCTTCCAGAATCCACCTCAGACCGCGCTTTCGCGCCCTACTGCACAATTGTTTTCCAACCAGAGTACATGTCGTTTTAAAACAGTACTAACAAGATATCCTATACCAAGAAAATATGACAAATAAACCGGTAAAGGAGGAAAACACCTGCTGACAAGTGATTTATGCAACATTTTACATATTACTAAGCCTAGCAAATAATATGTAATCCAATGGCAATGACAATACACAAATTATCTTGTTCTGCAAGTTCAAACAACTTAAAAAATGACTTTTTTCAAATGCACTATTATAGAATAATAATCATATATGTCTTGGGACATCTTGACAACATTAATCAAGTAGTAACGCACGTTCTGTTCTTGTCGTTTTTTCGTTCAGTATGAAATTTAAACCACAAGTTGATTGATACTGCGGTCATCAAATTGTGACTCGYTCCCTTTTGCTGATTGTCATATGATACCAAAACACGAGAACCCTTTATTTTCTATCAAGAGGAATGAAATCACAATGAAAAGCAAATATATATACATCCTTAGTTGACTGATCATAAATTTGTAATATTTTTTCAATTAAAGTTTATTAACACAGCGTACTCGATATATTATAAAATAATGAAGAAAACAATAAACTATCCTTTTGATTTAACTTTAAAGAATCCGGAGCCCGCTGATTAAATTTCTAGCAGAGGTCATAGCGTTTATTGATTTCATTGAATAAGTATAATAAGTATAATATAATAACACCAATTATATAAGAACCCTTTTAGGCTAACTTGGAAAAATGCAGGTTCATATTATATGCGGTATTTTACTGTACAGCAATCAATTATTCCGAAATTCTGGTGGCGCAAGAAAGTATTTTCTTATTGTTCTGATCTGAAGTGCTAAAAAGGTTCAAGTCTAGCATGACATTGATTTGTATACACCGGTTCTCAACAATATAAGTATAAAAAACGCAGTGTAAAATACGCAGCCGTAGCAAACTGGAACTGTTCCTCTTGAAATCAAAAATAGTTTATCGCTTAAAAGTTTCCGTACAAATTTCAAAAAATACCTCATATCTCAGTAAACTACAAGTTCTTATATTCACTCGTAAATGTAAATCTTTACCGTAACTGTTTTCACCATAAAAATGCTTGATTTCTATTTTACTATTTTATTGTAAGTATAATATTCCGCCATTCACTATTTCTTTAAAATTGTTTACATTGGTGCAGGATCTTTCTTACTTAACCCCTTTTGGGTTGTTCCTCCTACACCTTTCCACTCCTTTCTTAAGTTCTATTTGTAATTCTTTGTTTTTTCGTGTGTGGAAAAATAAAAACCTTTGAAACTTTTGATAAGTAAGTACGGCAGTAAAGCGTTTCTTGGATTATCAGAAGCATTAAGGATTTTGCCCTGATTGATATTCAACCCACTCGGATTTATCAAATTATCTTAAATAAAAAATATCAAAACGAGAATCGTAAAACCAAGATTCTGGATTTAGGTTTTCATTAATGATATCGAAATGGCAAATAGAAGAATGTTAAATGCACGTGACTCAGTTTCATCATGCTTCTTGTGATTAAATGAACTTCGAGTAAAACTGACATGAGTTATTCAAACGAGATTCTGCATTCAAGGCCATAGTGTAGACTTTGATGCACCATGTCCGCTTTACCATAAAAAGCTTAGCAGAAATATTTAATCGATACAAACATTATCATATATAAAATCCATGAAAACAGACACAAAAAAATAGAGAACACGAGAATATTATACACTGGCAGACTGGCAAACTATACAGCATCATGACAAACACCGACCATGGAGATAAACACAGCCACCAATCACTGCAAATACAGACGCATACAAACCGGCTACAACTAATAGTAAAACGGAAAAATATACAGATGACTGAGATGACATACAAATCAAGCACAAACGAAGACAAATGTATAATACGTATGAGGTTAGCAACATGGCAGGCACCTACCTCAGTGGTTTAACTCGTTCGGCAATATTTTTGCTTTTCAAAGAACACCAAGGAGTACATCCGCTAAACATCGTATACCTTACTAAATGATATTTGTTTTTCTTAATTCTTACCTATCCCCCAACTCCTGTGCTATCGCCAGATGCTTGATATGATACGCCACTGCATCATTGTACTCCTTCAAGAGAGTATATGTGTTCCCTAGACTGTAGCATGCCTGTCATAGCGGCACAAAATCACTGTTAGATGTGTACATTGAGTTTTGTATTCTGTCTAAATAAAATAAAATAAATTTAAATTTTAAAATTAAAGGAGAGGATGAAGTTGAGTGGTAAAAAATTAGAAGCAATCCCTGGAAGAAAATTTTAAATGAATGTAGAGAGAAATAGGGATGAAATAATTCTGAAACGGCAAAATTCAAATAAGCAAGAGTCAATGTCACATTGCAGCTTGTTAAAATTACAGAATTCAATCAAAGACGAAAGCTTGAAGCATTTATACAGGATAAATATATGAGACATTTGACAAGAATCGAACATGAATCGGCAGGCAACTTGATCAGTCAGCTATCGTCGTTAATCAAGCTGAAACCCAAAACGGGAAAATATCGCATGTGATTAAAAAGGCTGAAACAAATTTCCTTTTAAGATATTTTTCATCTTATTGCCTTACACAGAAAACCAGTATTTTCATTCAGATTTACATATTTGTATTTCGCAATTACTTGGATTAAGTTAAACCCTATACGGCTGCAATCCTGATAGTTTTGACGATCCCGAAACTTGATCAAACCAGGGTTTCAAAGCGCTTTTTTCATTCAGGTATCGATATTTCATTTAATATTTTCGAATGAAAAAGAAAGATGAAAAAGAAAAAATATACTTAAAAGCAAATGAACAAACAAACCCACAAAACCACAATCAAAATATCGAAGGCCGATTTTAAGTGATCGTATTTTTCTTATCTTTCTTCGTGCGTTCGATTATTGATTTTGATACGCTAGGATTTAACCAGTCCTAGTGTGAATCCCACGATATCAAAATGGCAGTATTTTTCTTACCTGTGCTTCAATTGCACGATCGCCGAGTTCTTTTGATATTTGTAGTGTCCTCCTGGGAAAACAAGAAGACGAAATCAATGTGGGCAAAACACATCCCCAGGCAGGGTTTGACAGTGGTAAGCTGTCTGAAGAACTCCACGATAGAATCGAAACAGACATGACTAAAATGTCTGGCAAGACGAACCACAAGAGAGCTACACTGCTTCCTTACCAGGATGTATATCAATTTGAAGGTTTATTAGCCAACCAATCGTGATTCTCCAATAAAAGTTATCATTCACTCAACCAATTACGTCAAAGTTCATGCTAGTCAAATGATTAGCATTAGAATACAAAACATCAACAAGAGGAAAACCTTTACACGACTTTTCCCTTGCAGTTCTGACAAATTAGTGAAAACCTTTCGTTGCTGAGCTGTACGATGTCACAATATCGGCTTAAAGAAGATGCTATGAAGCGTACAGAAAAGAGAGTTGGCATCGGGAAAGAGAGTTCTACAACATGGCCTAAATCGAATGACAGCTTATCTAATCAGATCTTATTGGCCTTAGTGATAAACCAAAAACAATATCAACTGTAGCAAAGACTTTTTTATTTCTTACATTTCCCGAATGCCTCCCTTTCGCAAGTACCCATCATTAGATCGTTAAGATAAGCGAGGCTTTCGATCACTTGCCGCACTGACTAGCGCTCTATATCAATGGCGCCATTCTTCCTTCAGGCTTTATAGAATCTAGAAATTAAAGACGTGGAGAATCAGTGAAGGGGAATTCTTTAAGGTGTTCACAATTTTCTCAAGTTTTAGACGTCTCTTCCATTAATCGCTTTTGTTTTGTTTCTTTGTGTTTTTTTTTTTTTTTTTTTTTTTTGTCTTGTTTTTTTTATTTTTCTAAAATCTTTTCTACCACCTCTTTCTCTTTGAATGAAAGGGAGAACTGAGAGAGAGAAAGGTAGAA